ACAAAAAACGCCTCATGCCACGTTTTTTTTTTTCTTGGACGGTGATCACATCTTGCAAGAAGAAAGACGGGCTGTGGCAGGCAGGAAAGGGGGCGGATGGCCATGTGACGCTGACGCTGATGCTGATGCTGAATGATTAGACTATGGATTATGATGAAGAAGTGATGCGTTGATGAACGCATGGCTACATCCCTGTCTAACCAGCAGCCAGGGGCCCCCCCTCCCCTCCTCGCTGTCAGCCGAACGGATGTATACATAGATTCAACATCAGATGGGATGAATGATGAGTGGTTATCCGTAAGTATGAGTACTAAGTTTATTTGGGTTTGGGTCTTAGGGACTGTACTGTACTTTCCCGAGTGTTCCCCCCTCCCCCTCCTCTTCCTTTCCCCGTATATGACAGTTGTTGCCAAGCTTGGGGGTGAAAGAAAGGAGGGTCCCCATTCACATGATGAAAGGTACGGAGTAGATATGCATGAAATGAACTTCTCGCGAGGCAACAAATGGTCTGTTCTTGTTCGGGACAGAACCCTTAGACTAATGTAATTTTCGCCCAGGGCAACCGATGGATACTTGGCGTGCTGGCGGGTGGGATGGTATCATCGTCTAGATAGCGACATGCCTACTCATACTAGATAGCTAGTGGCTACCGGGAATGGGTCGACGGTGTGTTGATAAATTAATGATAAGGCGAGGGAGGAAGGGGGAGGGGGGAGCCCTCATTCCTGGCGTGCCATGCCATGCTAAAATGCCATGCTAAAATGCCATGCGATGGGCGGCCATGGTCATTCCGCGCTTTTGGGGTCCGGTCCTTGCAGCAGTAGCAGTAGCAGCCGCCGCCGCTGCATGAGTGTGGATGTGAATGTAGTGGATGTGAGGTGTGTGTGTGTGTGGTGGCACTGTGGCAGGATCGCTCGGCCGCTGGACCCTTTCTTTCGTTTCGGCCGCTGCCATGCTTTTCTTAGATTGAGAGGCGCGCGCGGCGCGGATCCTTTCAGATCACCCGATGGGAAGGATGAGGGGGGAGGGGGCGGGCAAGAGGATTCGGGAGCAAACTGGAACTTACTATATTACTATAGTTTGTTACCGAAGGTGCAAAGGGAAGGTCGAAGGTCAAGGGGAGGGGAGTGGATGTCCCTTCGACGGCGTGGCTCGCGATATTGACAGGTTAGCAACTGGGTTAGGCTCTGTGGTGTCATACACTGGGAGGAGGGTACCCAGGCCAGACCAGACTACACCTAGACCTAGACAAGAAGCAAAAGTCAAACAAACAGAGACAAGAGACAAGAGACAAGAAACAGAGACAGACAGAGACACAAACAAGTCACGGGACGGGAAGTTTGTATATTCATACACTTCGATCCATTCCCAGAGCAATGGATGCGATGTTCTGACACTTCCTCACTCGCCCAAGGCAAAAAAGGGTCAACCCAGGCTAGCTTTCCACTTCCCCACTAACCCTGGTCGAGTAAAACCCCGTCGGAGATTTCCGATCCTTCAACCGAGAGAACCAATGAAAGGTCTCAACCCATTCTCCGCATTTGATGAGGGACCCAGCGTCGAGGTTCTGTCCTGCTGTTCCGCTAGAGGAAAAGGAAATCGCCAAAATCTTTTTGAGAAAAAAAAAAAAAAAAAAAAAAAAAAAATTCAAACTACGGACGGTGCCACAAACCACCTCCGTCAAAAGCTCGGCAACTTCTTGGCATCCAGCTCGATCTGGTCCAGCCGATCACCAACCACCAGACCCGTGGAGCTGTCTTTGCTTCGCTAAATAAGGACTGATTGGGTTAGCGGGCGTGGAGATTATCAGCATTCAGCAGCCCCCCCCTGCCAGCTTCCAATAGCGTGGGCCGGCCAACTTTATCTCTCCTTCCCATGGGAAAGAAAGACCTTTGCGGGTGGGAAGATGGGGGGACCCGAAATATCATTTCCGACGGAAGAGAGCAAGAGCTTGGTTGAGAGGAGGAGAGCTTTCGAGGAGCTATCCCAGTTAGTTTAGACTCGATGCTATGCTTGTTCTGGGGATGTCTTTGCCTGGTGGTGGTTGTTGCTCGGGGCCAGTACAAAGGGACCAGGAGGGAGTAAAGAGAGGGATGAAGTATGAAACATCGTCATCGTCGTCATGACTCGTGAAACCTCTTTGTCTACTCTGTCGCTGCTCTGGCTTTTGGCTCGCGGTTTCTCTTCCTTGCCTCTGTAACTACTGTAATGAATCTGAACTGAAAATGTATCTGTAACACTTTCAAGTATTGTCTTAGAATGTCATTTCAATCACTCAGATCACTTGACGGGGTGGATGTGCTTGCTGTCTGCCTGCCCGGTAACTCAACAGTGTTTACGGAGTATGAAGTTCGGTTTGGTTTTCGCCCCCAAACACCAAAGGATTCAAAGGAACGACAAATCAACCAAATCAACCAAATCACCCCAATGCCCGCCGGCCCTTTCTTTCTTGGCCTAGATCCATGTCAGAACTCAGAACACTGATGGAATTCAGGAAAGAATATCCTCCCATTGCCCCTCGTTGTCTGTGATCATTGTAGTTTATGGTATCCTCTATTTTCGGGTCGTTAGTCATAGAGGAGCTGAGCTAGCACTAACTGACTAGTTCCTAGTTTCTTACTGTACACCGGGACATGGGGGTGGGTTTAAGGGTGGTCGATAGTTTTGCGGGACCCAGCCCGCCCGGCACTTGGTCTGTTGTGTCATCTCTGTACTGTGCTTCTCTCTGCTCTGTCGCGCTCTCTCTCTCTACACCCCGTACAACCAACGTGTTAAAGTGGTACTACAATAGGGCCAAAATCCAAGATGAACCATCTCAGTGGAGTGTGACTTACTCCCTCTTTTTTCTTTTTTTTTTTCTTCTTCTTTTTCTCTGGAATACTTTGCATCGTTACTACGCGTTTTCTGCAGTTTGACTGTAGTTACTTTTCCAACCCAGCAATTTAAGCGAGGAAACTTCACCCATCGAAGGTAGTAAAGGCCTCCCGTGCACTCTGGTAGTAAGACTGTACGACTTGTACGGTGCTGCGGTACCACCATTACTTTTTTTTTCGAATCTCGCCTATTCTTCCCACGCTCATGCTCATGCTCCTGCTCCTGCTCGATCTTCAGCTGCAGGATTCAAGTAGCCAAGAGATGTTGAAACGAAGGACACATGGCAATGCACTGGGGGGAGGGGGGGTCTGGTTCAGGCTACTTATTGGTTGAGGGACTGCACTGCTCATCAGCTAGGTATTCAAGTTAGTCTCTATTGAATTGAGGGTATAGATTCTAGATCTAGGATGACTTCTGCGGTTGAGGAATGAGCTCATACACTCAGTGAGATAAGAAAGTCCCAAGGGAACTGGAAGGTATCACAACACATACCGTACATCCACATGTCTGGCTTCCTTCCGCTTCGCAAACCTATCTCTAGGCAGACAAGTGCTATTCGCCCATCCATAGGTGCACCCGAATGCAAGACCAATCCGCAGTACTATACTCCGTACTTAGCTATAGCACATATCCAGAGGGGGCGAACGACCACAGAACCCTCCAAGCACGACGAACATCCTTTCCCCCTCCAAAAAGTCCATTAAGTGAGCTAACTATACCCATGAGCTAATATACAAGGGTCACCTTCCCCCCGGCCCAAACTATACATAAGCTACATATAGATGACAACCCTACCCTCCAATGCCGCTAAGCTAAGTATGAACCACCCACCCCCCGGTCGATCAGAATCTAAAAACATTTTTGACTAATGTTACATCTCAACCTGCCAGTCTCCCTCTTATTCCCCTTGGTACCCGCGTCCGCCACCCCGAGAGTGGTTAGTGCATGAGATCTTGATGTTTAAAGAAACACCACCAGAAACAAAATGTGGACTGTGGTGTAAGCTGCAGTGTTACACGGATGATGTACATCGCTTCTTCATGTACTGTACAGGACTTCCCGCTGGTTGCGAGATCGAAACAACCTGGTGTTACATACGTTATCTTTATTGGGATAATTGCTCTAGGGGGCTCACTTAGCGTTTGCTTATGGGGGTTTTGATCTGCTTTGCCCCATACCACTACTCCCTGGTACCTAGCTGGACGTGAGGATGTATGTCTTATATCTGATGTCCTATCAGGGTTGAGGCGGGGGTTTCCGGATTGGGGGTATGGGGGTATGCGTCTTATATCTTGCATTACCTTGATCCAGGTTCATCGTTGTGCATTGTATGTACTGTCCTGGGTTGGGATGAATATTGGTAGTGTAAGGGGATGGGCGTTGTGGCTAGCTAAGATGTGCCTTTTTTTTTTTTTCTTTCTTTTTCTTTCCCCCATTTTGAGGGTGCGGATGAAGTTGGGGGGCAAATGGGGTGGTAGGTTCTAGAATACAATGACGGCTTGGCTAATGGTTTTTCATGCTGATGATGCGAGAGTGCGTGGTTGGCCTTGGTGGCAAAGAATGGTGTTGGAGCTGTGTTTCAGGTTGGTGAGAGGTGGCAATCAGGTTGCGGTTTGGGGGGCGGAATGTGTTGGGTTGTTCGGGGTGTATTTTGGTTGAATGCTTGTGATTGTGGCTGTACTTGTTGGTTGGTGAGCTTCGAGAAGTAGATGAAGATCGAGGGTACCTGGTTGTATAATCGGGTGTGTGCGATGGTTGGAGTGCTGAAGTACACACTTTGTACCGTGGACCGTACAAGTCGTATGTCGGTGTGGATGAGAGAGAGCTCCGGCTAGAGACTCCTCTCCAGAAGATCCGTCCATCCTCCTGCCGTGGCAATCCCTGATTCTCATGTTGGAAGCTTTGGCTTTGGCAAATCTCAGACTCTTCTTGCTATACCGTCAACCCAAGAGCAATGTGGCCATTCAATCAGACGAGGGTACTCGAAACATTCAATATATCGTTTACCGCAATCACTCCCAGCACCAAAAAGACAGGAAAGCATCCGTCCATCTAGTCGGCGTTCAACCAGTCCAAGCACCAATATCAAGCCCATTTGTACCTCCATGTAGCCTTCGATCACTTTCGATAGCCTTTCAAGCATGCTGAAAGTGGAACATACTCAGTGATGGTATCCGAATCGTTTGGTCCATAGGCCCAGCTTTGCTTTGCCTAGAAGGAAATAAGAAGAGTGCAGAAGCTGGTGATGAGGAACATTCGCTCTGTGCGGATCTTGACGTATTTTGGGATGTACCAAAAGCCGAAGGTGGATGCTCTGGGAGGCGAATCATTCCAATTTCACTGCATACACTCTGATAGCACATGGAGAGTGCGTTGTCATCCGATCAGAACTTTTCCTCGCTCTTGCCTCTATCGTCCCTCCCACAGTCAAAATTGTCAAAATTTTTAGCACGAATGCTGCATTCGCGCTTCTGGATCGTCGTCGTAGGTGTCGGTACTGTACACTTAGACAACAATGCCAAAACATTATCAGCCCTGATCAATAATTACCCACGAGTTTTGTGTCTAGGTTCACGAGGAAGACTACTGGGTGTGGTAATGAATTCGCTTGCAAACGTTCTCGATGCGCAGGGGAGCCATGTGCTCTCCGAGAACATAGTATTCGAGAGTTCTCGCATGACGTGTGGTATGTGGGCTCGTGGTGGGATGGATATACTGGCGCTGTCCCGACGGGACGATGAATACGGATCGATCGAATCAGGAGCGGAGGCATCATGTTGATTGCCTGTGGGCTTGGAGGGCTAGATCCTCAATGGTTGGGAATGCCTTTTCGAAGAAGGGGCATGAAGCCTTTTATAGAAGTTAGCAACAACGAGTTGAACAGATCTCTCACCTTAAAATGAATAAAAATTCCGACTGTACATTAATGACACTCAGTCCGCAGGCCTCACCGACGGTCCAGCGTGAGTCTATGTGGTTGTAGACTGTTGTAGCTTCTGCTGTGGCTGTGTAGAGCAGCCTGCGATATAGGTTATGGTCTGATAAATGTACTGTCTGAATAAGGGGCATGTTTTCAGGTAAAGTATTTCACTGTCCGCTATGGTTGTCGGAACTGCCGCTGGAGCTCTCTGTGTGCTATGCCAGTCGTTCCCGGAGCTGCGGTAGAAAAATGAGCTGCGAATCGAGCATCTGTGGTAATCACGAGTGCCTGGAGTCTGCCTATTGGGTTGGAGAGCTGATTTTATGATCTTATGGGAGCGGCTGATCAGGGCTGGGGTGATGAAACCAATGATCCAACTGCTGTGGAGAGGTTGTGAGCAGGCCTCGAGAACTATATAGCACGGACAAGGCACGACTGAGGACCCGGCTAAGCTCCGAAATATGGACTTCACTGCCTTGACATATTTGCACGGTACAGTACAAGGATAGATCCAATTCATCAGACGTGGCGGCGTAGGCATCTCTCTTTGAGTAAACTTGATTCATATGCACTAGAATAAGCATGGGAATACATATCGGGGATTAGGTCAAAGGTGAGCTTCTTGCATACTAACTTCTTAGACTGGTCACAAAGCATCCTTACTACCCCTGTGGTGAAATACAAGATCAATTGACGTGGCGCAGGAAAATGTTAGAGATGTGCTAGAATTCAACCAAGTATACTTGGCTCCTTTTGTCAAGTCTCTGCCTCATCAAGGCTTGCCACGCTATATGCATCGTGGAGACTTGGTTATAGCCACGATTGCTGTTTCAGGATTTCATTGGATTGTCTTCTCCTTCTTGTTTCTAGATCTTTCTATGCAGTCTGCAGATTGTTTCGTGGTTGGCGCGATAACTTCATTGATAGGCATAGTGTTGGATGGCATGGCAATCAAAGACGGCCGAACAGATCCTATACCACCAGTACTGCAGACACAGCCAACGATCAATCCGGTCGGCTCTTAGCATGAGTGTTCAAATAATGCACCACATGTCACACACTGTCGTTGGTAGAAGTGAATAATTCACTCATCAGCTTAACATCCTTCCATGGTTCTAACACGAGTCGTCCCTCGGTGTCAACAATGCGGATTGTGGTCAGAGACCTCGGAACGCACCGACCGTCACAAGCAGTGACGAACCAGTATGCCTACGGGCAGTGGGCATTGGCACCGAAGACGCTGTGTAAATTGAGAACAACCAGCCCACCGAGTCACGGGAATGGTACACACTATATAGCACATACAGGAGGATCACGAACCGACCACGAATGGCCGCGGAGCAGTCACTATCTCATATGTTTTGCCAGTGACATGCGTCGACTTTTGATTATTGAGTGCATTCGGGGGTTATACGGCGTACCTATTGAGTTTTTGGCTTCAACGAAGCACCTTCATAGCTTGCCACATTAACCGAGCTGAGTTTCGGCTCCTTAGGATAATAGAGATTGAGTTGAATTGAATTGGTACATTGTCCGTCACAGAATCATGTCAGCACTCTGCAGAAGAAACGAATTGGGACATAATACGTCCGGTACCCCATACTTGTGACCCGCAATTCTCGAATTATCAAGCTTGGATGAACATCTTCCGTGCTAAGTCGAGGGATTCGAGGGATTCGAGACAATCAGCCACTCCGCAACCAATTTCCGCCCCGTTATTGAGCAATCCGCCTTTATGGCATCAAGAGTGCCAGTGACGGCTGAGCCGTGCGTTCGTAGTGCACCAGAGGTGGAGGATAGATTACGCAGTTCAAGCAAAGTATCCCAGCACAACAATATATCACTGGCTAAAAAGACGGTCGGAAGCATGTACCCGAGTAAAAGTATAGTCGATCAGTATCAAGCAAGTAGGTTGGGAAAGGAAGTACAAAGCCTACTAGTCGAGTAGGGAGGTCAGGGAGTCATAATCTCTTTGAATGTGAGAGCTGATTGATCATACCTTTCACAGGTTCTTCATCCTTTCGCCGGACTTTCCCGGAAAGCAAAGCACTCACGGGAGGGTTACACAGATTCTGCGAGCGTCACCCAGGTTTCCCCATAGGCGATGACAGCCATTTTCGCCGTCACTCGTTTAAAAAATCATCATTTCTTCGCAAGTAGTCCGCCGAGTAACGTAAAGATGAAAACAAGATCCTCCGGGTTCATTCAGTGCAGTACTCTGCCTATAATCGCCATTTCGACATTCAGGGGACATGGCTATGCTCGATGCTGGATGTCTGCTTTGTTGGAGGTCCGAAAGGTGTTGCTTGATTCGCACAGGCCAATAAGAGCTTATGGTCGGACATCGTGCAAAGAGACTGGAATCTGTCGGCCAACTAGAAGTATGAATAATATCTAGTCTCAGCGAGAAGAGACGATAACTCTGATAGGAAGTAGCTGAAGAGGATGGGACTATCCAAGGTGCAGTGTGGTATGATGGTTCACGCCATGTTGGCAGCAGCGCATCCGTCAAACAAGACTTGAAATGGGGTGAAAAGCGTCTTCGCCAGTATACTCGAGAGTAACCGACATTGCTAGTGAGCTAGTTAGTGATATTGTGTGCTGACTCTCAGCGTGAGTGGTTGTCGACGCTAGAGATTTCGAATTAGAAACCAGATTAACCAGTTCTCAATCGACCGGGATGGACAAAGGAACGGGTGGATGAGATGGGTGAGACAGTTACCGCGTCTGCCACGAACACCCCCCAGCTTACATCCACAGGTCGCTTGGCTCATTCTTTCGCACTCTCACATGGCAAGCAATAAAAAGAGATACCACAACCCCACAAGACTCGAAATTTCATTCCCCCTCTCCCTTGATGGCAGCACAGCAAACATCCTGATAGATTGATTAACTTGGTCGGGATGACTCAATCCGGCCAATCCGGCAAACCCGGAGCATACCGACAGGGATCTGTAGCCTAGTGAGCTTTTAGCACGAGATCTACAGAGGAGTACAGTAGCCTTCCGCCCAGCCTTTCATGTATGCTTAGCAGCTGGGGAATGGAACCTTGAAACTCGGAGGAGTGACCTTCAATGCCGAGAGGATCTAGAAGAGGGGGCGGATCACCACAACTTACAGCAATGGGCTCAGGTGTCATGAGACAGCCCCTATTAGATATGTGATCTGATCAGAAATCCACTCATTGCGGAGGCAGTCACCGTCTCAATCACCTCTTTCCTAATCCGTTGTAACACTTGGAGACTAGGCAAAAGTACGTACTTCGACCCCATTAGCACAGACATCTATAGATGCTATAGATAGAGAGCTGAGCCCCATCGACCTGTCATATCACATCATATCACATTATAGCCAGGCAAGATGTACACAAAGTTCGCGTGGCTGAAAGTCCAACGAGGCTTCGAGATGGCCATTGGCAGGGTGAATAGGCGCTACTATATTGGCGTCCAGCCATCCTTTGCTGCCGCAGTCAATGTTTGTTCTAGACCCTCAGCCTTAAAATGTCGCATGGGCTAGTGTTTGGGATGTGAGAGTCAAAGACAATCGGGACAAGCCAAGATGGGTGTCAAATGAAAAGAGTGTCGAGTAAGAAGAAACAACTGTCTGGTCTTGATAGCTAATATGGATAGTAGCATGAGCCAGAACCATAATGGCTGGCTTAGTGTGCGCGCCACGCGCAGCCATAGAGCTGGAGCTGGTATCAACGGCGCGATCAGCCCGCTTCCCACCCCCGCTCAAAGCCCGCCCAGGCGCAGCGCATGCGCGTCGATCTGGGGCCCTTGGAAAGTATGCCTGCCAGCAACAAACCAAAGAACATTCACAATCACAAGGACACCGGTCAGTACCACCGAGTTATAGTTCATAGACTGCAGCGTGACAGGAAGATGCGGGGGCATGCAGTTCAGGGCAACTTGGAAAAATAGCCAGATCACCGAGAACACATTGCAGATATAACCGACCCATGAGAGGTTGAAATATCGCTTGGGAAGGTATGACCGACCTCGTAAGAGAAGCAGTCCTTGGGGGATGATGTATGTCAAGTTAAGAAAGAGCACGGCGGCATTGATGATCGAGTTGAACGCCGTGGTGGATGCAAGATAGAGGAGGCCGTAGATGGAGCAGAACCCGAAGGAAGCAAGCGTGGTGCGCACGGGGAAGTCAAGTCTCGGGCTGATTTTGGTAAAATATTCTGGAAAAGGTGTGCCGCCCTACGGAGACGATCAGTACTCGTTGGTTCGAAGGGTGCTCGTATCCACGCTGCATGCACTTACATCGCGAGCCAATGCCCAGGCAATCCGACCAGAGGTCACCCACTGCGGCGGGATGCATGCTTCCTTGACTTAGCTCTCGATCAAAGGGTACTGAGGGGAATCGGTAGCCTGTCATACAAACATAAATTGCCCAAAGCAAAATGAGTAGACCGAGAGTGGCGTTTCGACTTCCAGTCCTGTTGATGAAGGTCAGAGCGCCCGCTAAAAAGACCCAGTAGCAAACTGACACTTGATAGACTAATTCGAGACTGGGGAGTGGAGAGTCTCGGATGGCTTCATAATCATGGGCAAAGTACAGAAGAACCACAATCATCGTAAGGCTGGTTACGATACCAATGACTTCTGTCATAATCATGATTTGCGGGACACGTCGCCCTGGTCGTGGTATCTCCTCAGAGATGTGGATGGCTGTCAAAATTAACAATGTGTTCAGTACCACATCGGTGAAAGTTGCTGTTCTTACCGCCGTCTGCGGAAGCAAATGCATACATGGCATTGCTGATAGCAAGCAACCAGGCCGCACCACTGTGCCATCCGCTATTTGCCTGATTGGATGCCACTGCAAATGACTTACCCTGTACGTGGTCGTGCATTGCTAGAGCGGTAATGAGATAAACAAGGTACCCGGCCAAGGTTAGAGAGAGCGTCAACTGCGTCACCCATGACATCTTTGTCGGTGCGACAAACAGCGGGATCACTGGTGAGATCTTAGCATGACACAATCTGAGGAAAGAAGTAAAAGGACTTACAGGTCGAAACTGCAATTGCAAGGAAGATCAAGTAAGTACGCCATTGAGTTGCCTCATAGCCTGGGATATAGTAAGACACTATTCCCTGGAGGAAAATCGCGCCAAGTGAGATACCTGAGCATCTGAAGGAGGGTCAGTACAGCTCACAATACTGAAAGGCAAGCATCATACGTCGCCGACCACCAGGCTAACACTGAGAGCCATCCCACGATGTAAGCGTTATACTTTCGGGTACTCTTCGAACTGAGAATGTAACAGAAGTGGTATTGGCCTCCGCTAGACTGTTATAGATTTAGCGATAGCTCGATACAAGCTTAAGTTTTCTCCTTACGGGGAATGCTGAGGCCAATTCAGCAAGTCCCAGTGTGATGACAAGCTGAATCGCCCACCCAAGCACTAGGCATACGATACAGCCTAGCACACCGACATAGCTCAGGTTTTGTCCAAAATTGCTCTAGTCCATCGAGGTATAGTGTCAGCAAAAGCACCATTCGGGGTACCCGAAAGTACGCACAAGATAACCAATCCATGAGTTGGTGATCGAAAACCCCAGGCCTAATGCAGAGATCCAGTTGAATTGCCTGGGCATGACTGCCTCATGGCCATTTGCTCGGAGGACTGCTTCATCTTCATCTTCAAGTGACGTCTCTTCCACTGTGCCGTCTGTCACGTCTGCTGGCAACTGTTTGCCATGCGGGGCTTTCTCCACTGTTCGGTTCATTTCCGTAGTCTGGGCAGCTAGCAAGCTTAAGATAGCGATGTGATGGTGGGCAAGGAATCTTGAGCATCCCTCATCGGAGGGATACTTGTGCGCTTATATCTCATCTCTTTCCCCTGGCCCTTGCTTGGACAACAAAGGGA